AGGATGGTCACGCCGCAATCCCTTCTCCTCCATTCTCCTCTCGGGATCTTGGGCACGCACGCACACGTGCCCAGCGTGAGTTTAATCCACCAGTCTGGGACTTGAACCATACATGGGAGTTCAGCAACATAGCCATTACCCTAACTGCTGGTCCCCCCAGCGTGATTTTCAAGCTGAAGAGATCCAGTCATCTTAATATCACACAACCTGGTGGCCCCAGAGGGAACTTTCTTTTTTTTGGAGAGGTTTTTGCTACAGGTCGCATGTGCTCGCCAGAAAGAGAGAGAAAGAGAGACAGAAAGCAAGAAATCACCCCCCAGGAGGGATGGCCACACCACAATCCCTTCTCCTCCATTCTTCTCTTAGGATCTTGGGCACGCACGCACACGCGCCCGGCGTGAGTTTAAGCCACCAGGTCCAGGACTCCAACCGAGGTCAACTACATGGGAATCCAGCAATGTAGCCATTACGCCAACTGCTGGTCCCAAGGGAACATTTTTTAAATGTTTTAAATTTTTTTTCTTATTGCCAGAGGGTGTGTGGGCTCACCAGAGACAAAGAGAAAATATCTCCCTATGGAATATGGTCACACACAATTCCTTTCTCCATTTTGTTGGAATTTTGGGCACACATGCGTGCACACACACACGCACACACATACACATATGTGACTGGTCCTGGTGTGTTTCTCCAGCTGCTGAGCCTAGGATTCAAATTATGCCATTGGCCATGTAGAATCTGGTTCCCCTAACTACTAGGTACAGGGCTGGCCCTGTTACTTTCTTTTCTTTTAAAGATATTTTTTGCCATAGGGTACATGCACTCACCAGAGAGAGACAGACAGACAGACAGAGGGAAAGGGAAATCACTTCCTAAGGGGATGGCCATGCCACAGTCCCATTTCTTCCATTCTCCTCTTGGGATTGTGGGCATGAACGCACAAGCACCCAGCATGATCGTCAAGCCACTGGGTCTGAGACTTGAACTTCAGTAAGCCACGTGGCAGTCCAGTGCCTTGACCGCCATGCCAAATGCTGCCCCACCCCACCCCAATACTTTCTTTAATGGCATTCTTGTCTTGTTTCATGTATATGATACTTTCTCTTTAACTGAGATAATTATGGATAGTTTTTTAATAATTATTTTATTTAACTTTATTCATTCATTCAGAGGGACAGAGAGAGAGAGAGAAAGTAAGAAAGCAAGCCACCAGGTCCAGAACTTGAACTGCTGTTGGCCATGTGGGAGCTTAGTATCCTTAACCACATGCCACCTGGTGGCCCAATAGGTTTTTTTTAATAATTATTATCATTGTTAATTATTATTGTTGTTCTTGTTTGACCAGGGAGAGACAGAGAAAGACAGAGACAGAGACAGAGAAAGCAAGCCACTAGGTCTGGGACTTGAACCGCAGTCAGCCAAGTGGGAGTTCAACACTTTAACCACCACATCACCTGCCAGTCCCTATTGGTAGCTAAAACCTATCGAGTGTTCTTCTTCCTGTACTTTCTCAGTCTTCGTGTCCTTTTTCATCTCCATCTCTCCTGTGAGAGGCTTTCCTCAGCATATAAGCCTTGTTTAAGAATGAGGAGTTGAAAAGCTACCTTGTGGCCCTGGGACGTGGGTGGGCTCATCAGCTGGAAACTGGAAGTCAGAATCCTCTGACTGGGCAGTTTGCAGGGAGCCCCTGATGTCAGATTCCTGAGGTCTTTCCTCTCGCGCTGAATGATTTTCCAGTGGAGCGTCTTCCAGTATCACCTTTGGAGGATTAAGCCTGGCGGCCTCTCTTCTGGGAGAAATAGGGCTGGCCGTCTTGGACGTCCATGCGCAGGGGCCTCTAGCCTGATTCCTACACGGTACCCCTGCCCGTGACTATGCTTGGTTGCCCCCCAAGCATAACCTTCTGTTTCATTTCCCCTGGAGAAAAAACAAAAAATGAACAAATAGAAAAAACCTTTATTTTTTTCAGAGATTGAAGAAAGTAGTCGTCCGCTACACCTGGAGGAGGGGAGGGACTGGTTTTGTTTTTGTTTTGATTTTTAAGCTTTTTGCAATAGGGCACATGTGCTTCCGAAGAGAGACAGAGGCGAAATGAGAAATCAACCCCCAGGGGGGATGGCCATGTTGCAATCACTTCTCCTCCAGTCTCCTCTTGGGATTTGGGGGATGTACACACACACGCCCAAAGTCATTTTCAAGCCATTGGTCCAGGTCCAGGACTTGAATTGTGGTCGACCATGTGAGAATCCAGAGCCTTAATAACTATGCCACCTGCTGGCCCCAGGGATTAAAAAAATATATTTATGGGACCAGCAGTTAGCATAATGCCTATGTCGCTGGACTCCCACGTAGTCGACCGCGGTTCAAGTCCCGGACCCGGTGGCTTAAACTCACGTTGGGTGCGTGTGCATGCGTGCCCAAGATCCCGAGAGGAGAATGGAGGAGAAGGGATTGCGGCGTGGCCATCCCCCCTGGGGGGTGATTTCTCGCTTTCTGTCTCTCTATCTCTCTCTGTCTGTCTGGCAAGCGCATGTGCCCTATAGCAAAAAACATCCTCTCCCCCCAAAAAAAGAAAAAATATATATTTATTTTATGCTATTTATTATTATTTTTATTATTTTAAATTTGATATAGATCACCTGTGCTCACTAGAGAGGGAAGGAGAGAGAGAGAGCAGGAAAGTGAGAAAGCAAACTGCCAGGTCTGGGCCTTGAATTATGATTGGCCATGTGGGAGTCCAGCACCTCAACCAACACACATGCTGGCCTGGTAATTTTCTTTTCTTTTCTTTTTTTTTGGAGAGGTTTTTTGCTACAGGGCGAAAAACCTAGACTCCATATAGGAGTCTAGTGCCTTAATTACCATGCCACCTTCTGGCCCAGGATTTTTTTTTAAATTTTATTATTATTTATTTAATGGATTTATTATTCTTCAATTTGACCAGAGAGAGACAGAGAGGTCAAGAGGAAGTGTGAGAAAGCAAGTCACCAGGTCTAGGACTTGAACCATGGTCAGCCATGTGGGAGTCCAGCAACCTAACCACCATGCCACCTGCTGGCCCTGTGGCCTAGGAATTTTTTTTTTTTTTTGAGAGATTTTCACTGTAGGACGCGTGCACTCGCCGGACAGACAGAGAGAGACATAGAGACAGAAAGCGAGAAATCACCCCCCAGGGGGGATGGTCACGTCGCAATCCCTTCTCCTCCATTCTCCTCTCGGGATCTTGGGCACGCACGCACATGCGCCCGGCGTGAGTTTTAAGCCACCGGGTCCGGGACACGAACCGCGGTCGACTACGTGGGAGTCCAGCGACATAGCCATTACGCTAACTGCTGGTTCCCGTGGCCTAGGAGTTTTTTAAATTAAAAACAATTATTTTCTTTATTTGTGATAGAGCACTTGCATGTGGGAGAGTGAGAGAAAGAGAGAGATGAGCACCCTTCACAGGGTCTGGTTGCCACGATCCTTTTCCCAGTCTTCTAGTCCATTGGATCTTGGGTACTTCCTGGGTGAAGGATTCCAACTGTGGTGGCCATGTGGTATCTGGCATTTCTTTTTTTAAAATTAATTATTCATTTAATTTTATGTATTCATTCATTTATTTTTTAATTCGACCAGAGAGGCAGAGAGAGAAAGGAAATGAGAAAGCAAGCCGCCAGGTCTGGGACTCCAATAGTGATGGGCCATGTGGGAGTGTCCAATGCTCTAACTACCACACCACCTGCTGGGCCCTGGTATCTGGCATTGCTCGAACAATGTTACCACTGAACTACAAAGCTGGGGCTTAACTTTTTGTTAAATAACTTTTAACTAGTCTTTTTTTCTTTCTTTCTTTTTTGTAGAGTATTTGCCTCAAGGCACATGCACTTGCCAAGATAGAAAGATAGAGACAGTGTAAGAGAAAGTGAGAAATCACCCCCCAGAGGGATGGCCACTCTGCAATCGGTTCTCCTCTATTCTCTTGCTGGGATCTTGGGCACACATGCACATGGCTTGAGTTTTAAGCCAAAAATTCTGGGACTTGAACCATTGTTAGCCATGTGGGAGTCTAGTACGCCATCTGCTGGCCTGTTGACTAGTCTTTATTTTTTGTGTAACCACTTCTCCCCTACCACCAGCTTCTCATTCACTTCTAGACCTGCTTGATGCCACCACCCCTGAGGTTTTTCAGACTCCCTAGAGATCAGATTGAGTCCTGTATTCCCCAAAACCAGCTCGGTTCTCAGCTCTGTGGATGGGCCAGGTTATTACCTCTGCTGCTCTCCACCCACCTTCCAGAATGTTGTTAATGTGTTGGCCTCTTCCTGAACACTACATCTTCGTGGGTTCAGATCTTTTCAAAATTATCTTTAGTTGTACCAGCAAGTGGCATAGTGGATCTCACATGGCCGACTGCATGGTTTGAATCCTGGACTGGCAACTTGAAAATCATGCCAGGGGGCTAGCAGGTGGTGTGGGTTTTTGAGGTGGTGGATTCCCACGTGGCTAACCATGGTTTGAGTCCCAGACTGGGCAGCTTGCTTTCTCACTTCCTCTTTCTCTCTGTCTCTCTTTGGTAAGTGTGTGTCCTGTGGCAAATTAAAGAGTGATAATAATAACAAATAACATTAATTATTATTTGGGAGATTTTTTTTTTTTTTGGTATAGGGTGTGTGTGCTTGCCAGAAAGACAGAGAGAGAGAGAGAGAGAGAGAGAGCGAAAAATCGCCCCCCCGGGGGGATGGCCATGCCACAATCCTTTCTCCTCCATTCTCCTCTCAGGATCTTGGGCACCTATGCACACACGCCAGGCATGAGTTTAAGCCACTAGGTCTGGGACTCGAACAGTGGTAGACTACATGCAAATCCAGCGACATGGCCATTACACCAACTGCTGGTTAACTTTATTTATTTATGTATTTATTTTTTAAATGTAGGACTCATTTAGGGTATTTTTTTTAGAAATTATTTTTATTTAACTTTATATATATTAAATTTGACCAGAATGGGACAGAGAGAGAGAAAATGAAAAAGTAAGTTGCTAGGTCCAGGTCTCAAACCATGGATGACCATGTGAGAGTCTAACACCTTTAACCACCATGCCACCTGCTAGCCCCTATTTATTTAGGTATTTTTAATTAATTAAGAGTCCAGCGACATAGCCATTACACCAACTGCTGGTCCCAATTTATTTATTTATTTTAATTTTACCAGAGAGGGACAGAGCAAATGAGAGTGAGAAAGTGATAAAGCAAGTTGCCAGGTCTGGGACTCAAACCACGGTCGACCATGTGGGAGTCCAGCCCCCCAACCACCATACCACCTGCAGGCCCCCAAAATAATTCTTTATTTACTTTATTTATTTTTTTAAAGAATTCTTTCATTTATTTGTTTATTATTATTTTCACATGAATTTTGCCAGAGAAAGATGGAGGGGAAGAGAAAGCAGGCCGTCAGGTCTAGGACTTGAACAGCAGTCAGCCGTGTGGAAATTGCAGCGCCCTAACTACCACAGCCACCTACTGGTCCCCCCAAAAAATAATTCTTTAAAAAAAAGGAGAAAACAACCTTTCGGTGGGCCAGTTGATGGCATGGTAGTTAAGGTCATTGGATCCCACATGGCTGACCCTTGGTTCAAGTCCTGGACCTCATGGCTTGAAACGCATGCCGGGTGCTTGTGCATGCATGTCCAAAATCCCCAAAAAAGACAGAAAAGGAGAAGGGATTGCAGTGTGACCATGCTCTGTGGGAGGGTGATATCTCACTTTCCTCCTCCTCCTCTCTATTGCTCTGGCTAGCACATAGAGCCTCTGACAAAATTTTTAAAAATTATTTAATTTTATTTATTAGTAGTAGTAGTACTATTCAATTTGAGCAGAGAGAGACAGAAACAGAGAGAGAAGGAGAGCAAGAAAGTGAGCCACCACCAGGTCTGGGACTTGAACCCCGGTTACCCCATGTGAGAGTCCAGTGCCTTAACCACCATGTCACCTGCCAGCCCCAAAGCTCTGACAAAATTTTAAAAAACAAAATAAACAACTTCCTGGAGCTAGCCTGTGGCGCAGTGGTTAGGTGCTGGAGCCCATATAGCTGACTACATAGTTTGAGTCCTACACACTGCGACTTGAGAAACATGCGACGGACGTGTGAGTGTGTGTGCCCAAAATCCTGAACGGAGAGAGAAATGGAGGGATGGGATTGTATGTGATCATACCCCATGGGATGCACCCCTAGGATGCTTTCTCACTTTCCTTTTTCCTCTCTGTCTCTCCACAGTGAGTACACATGCCCTCTGGGAAATTTTCCTTTTTTTTTGAGAGAGATATTTTTGCTCTAGGGTGCATGTGCTTGCTTGACAGAGTCAGGGAGACTGAAAGTGAGAAATCAGGGGGGATGTCCCCCAGGGGGTATGGCCACACCACAATCCCTTCTCTTCCATTCTCCTCTCAGGATCTTGGGCACACACGCACACATGCCCAGAGTGAGTATTAAGATGCTGGATCCAGGACTTGAACTGTGGTCCATTACATGGGAGTCCAGCAACGTAACCATTATGCCGTCTGCTGGTCCCAAGGGAAATTTTTTTAAAGAATTTATTTATTTATTTATTTTAAAAATTTGATCAGAGAGGGACAGAATGAGAGAGAGAGGGAAAGTGAGAAGGCAAGCTGCCAGGTTTGGGACTCAAACTGTAGTCAGCCATGTGTGACTCCAGCGCCTTTAACCACCACACCACCTGTTGGTCCCCTTCTACCTAGTTTCCAAAGCAGTAAAGTGAGAGTTGGAGAAGATAAGTGATTGCCCAAAGTCACCAGAGAGTAGGTTGGGAACCTAGACTTGCAAGCAGGTGTTAGAAGTTTGATCGTGCAAGGCATAGCAGCTGAAGGTTGGACTTGACAGTCTAGTTTCTCAAAATGGTGCTCAGTACCTGCTTTCCAGCCAAAGGTCCAGATTTCTGGGCTCCACCCCATGTATACTGGAATTTCTCAGGCTGCAATTCAGAAATTTGTTTTGTTTTTAGTTTCCTGTAGGGCATGTGCTCTTGCCCAAGGGGGACAGAGAGCCAGAGGTTATCCCTGGGTGGGAGGGGGAATTGGCCACACCTTAATCCCTTCTCCATTTAAAAAAAAAAATTATTTATTTATCCATTCATTGTTTTTTTAATTTGACCAGAGTTAGACACAGAGAGAGAGAGGGAAAGTGAGAAAGCAAGTCACCAGGTCCAGGACTTGAACCGTGGTTGACCATGTGGGAGTGTCCAGCGCCTTAACCACCATGCTTCTTCATTCTTCTCTCAGCATTTTGGACAGGCATGTACACACGTACACATGCCCAGTGTGATTTTCAAGCCCGAGTCCAGGTCTTGAACTGTTCAGTTGACTGTGGGATCCAGCTGCCTTAACCTCCACATCACCTGCTGGCCCAATAATTTATATTTTTCAGAAGGCTTCCTAATGATTCTTACACAGCTTTAAATTTGAACAGAGGTACACAGAAAAAAAATGCATTGGGTAGGGCCAGCAGGTGGCATGGTGGTTGGGACACTAGACTTCTATGTGGCTGACCGTGGTTTAAGTCTTGGACTTGGTGGCTTGCTTTCTCACTTTCCCTCTCTCTTTCTGATGAGCACATATGTCCTACAGCAAACTTAAAATAATAATAATAATAATAGCAGTGGCCAGCAGGTGGCATGGTCGTTGGGGTATTAGACTCTAACATGGTAGACTATGGTTCGAGTCCCAGACCTGGCGGCTTACTTTTTCACCCTCCCCACCCTCTCTCTCTGGTGGATGCACATGCCCTATAGCAAAATTGAAAATTAATATCAATAATAAATAAAATAAATATAATTATTACAAGTAATAGTAGTAATAAATAAAATAAAATCATTCTTAGAAGTAATAATAGTAATAAAATAATTTTAAAAATGGGGTTGGCATGTAGTGTGGTGGTTAGGGTGCTGGACTCCCACATGGCTCACTGTGGTTCAAGTCCTGGACCTGGCAGCTTGCTTTTTTTTTTTTTTTAAATTAATTTGTTTGTTTATTGATTGATATCTTTTCAGAAGTTCTTGCCTGCACACACACCTGGCATGAGTTTAAGCCACAGGGCCTGGGACTTTTGAACCACAGTCAACTACATGGTAGTCCAGCAACATAGCCATTATGGCAACTGCTGGTCCCGTGGAAGCTTGCTTTTTCATTTTTTCTCTCACGTGAGGGCACGTGTTCTATATCAAATTAAAGACTAATAACAATAAATTAAATTAAATTAAAAGAGGGACCAGCAGTTAGCATAATTGCTATGTCGCTGGACTACCATGTAGTCGACCACAGTTTGAGTCCCAGACGTGGTGACTTAAACTCACGCTGGGCGCGTGTGCGCCCAAGATCCTGAGAAGAGAATGGAGGAGAAGGGATTGTGGCGTGGCCATCCCCCCTGGGGGGGTGATTTCTCACTTTCTGTCGCTCTTTCTGGCAAGCACATGTACCCTATAGCAAAAACCTCTCCAAAAATAATAAATAAATAAAAATAAAATAAAATAAAATAAAATAAAATAAATTTAAAAACTGCCTTGAGCACCCAGAGCAAGGAGCAGAAAAGATCTAAGGAGGCTTCAAGGAGATGGTGGCATGTGAGTTTCTCTGTGAAGGCTAGGTGAGATTTAAACACGTGGGATGGTGGGAAGGAAGGGGCCTGTCTCAGGCTTGTTGCATGGCGGTTTCAGGCTTGGGCCTTTCACTATCCCTTTTCACTGCTGCCATCCTCATTGTTCTCCTCCTGATCCTTCCATCTTCCTTTTCTGCCTCCTCCTCAAACCTAAAAGTTGAGCCCGTTTTCACAGGCTGAGCTGCGTAGGATTCTCTGCACTCAGCGAGCAGGGAGGTGCTGCCCACGTTAGTGGATTAGCAGGTAAAGAACACACAGAGACAGGGCTGACATAGAGGACACTCAGTCACTGGCAGACAGTTGGGGCAAAAATGGATGAACAAGAAAGAGACAATCACCGCCAGACAGGGAAGAACAGGCGCAGAGCCCTTCTCGGCAGATAGAATGAGCTGGAAAAGGAGTCATGAACACAAATGGATACACAGAGACAAGTCTAAGAAGGTCACACACAGGCAAGAGGAACGGCGCACACCGACATAAAGGGATGCTAGACACCTGCAGGTGGAGAGTGGGGGGCACAGGCAGTAGGGATGTACTCTCAGAAGGGGCCTGGGCCATAGCCGACCCTATTACCCCTGGGTAGAGGGGTAGCCCCAAGTACCTGGCCCTGGCTTCCAAGTCCTGCCCCTATTTCTGTCTCACTAGTTGCCGCATTGTCAGGCCAAGCTTCAGGCTCCAGGCTCCAGGCTCCAGCTCCAGGCTCCAGGCTGCAGGGTGAAGTGTGCTCCTGGCTGTGCACCCTGGTCATGGGCCTCCTCCCTCTTACGTCACATTTACTGTATTTCAGCGCTCAGATGTTTATCATCAGCCAGCCTCGCTTCTTCCTGGCTTGCAGCCCACTTCGTACGGGTCCCTCGTGCCCAGCCTCTTTTGGATGTGCTTTATTCTAACTCACAGTCTCAGCCAACTCGGGAGCTTCAACAGCTCATTTACGGATTACGTTTCCTTTAAGCCCTTCTCCATAGTCCGCCAACCTTCCCACACTTTCTCTCATTCCCGACACCACTTGCAGTTACTAAGCGCACCATATTTCCCATAAATCGTAGCGCCCAAGGGGCTCCCTGGGGAACTTCAAGTACCGAAATGCTCTCCTTCCCGTCTCTGCGACTACCGAAGTGACCGATGGGGCGTGTAGTCGCCTAAGACTTACCCGGAGACCCATAAAAACTACTCATCCCGGGAGTCCCTGCTCTAGAGGCGGGTTTTCCTCCTGTCTTTCTGCGCGCCCCTTAATCCTCCTTGGGGACTACAAGTCCCGTCGTGCCTTGCGCCTGGATCTCTGCGGCAGAGAATGGGGCTGTGGCCAAAGTGTTCTCTGGGAGTTGTAGTTCATACATTGATGAGGCGAGGAGGAGGCGGAGTGACTCGGCGGCCATTAGCTGTGTGTAGTTGCCCCGGACTAGGAGCATAAGTGAAGGGGGAAGCCTTATTCGCTGGAAATCAACTGTGGCCATGGGCTTCTGCTGGAACTCGCAGTAGCGTACGGAGCAGACGGGCTTTTCAGTTCCCCACCCCGCCCATTGGCAGGGCCTACTAGGCCTCTGAGCATCCCCGGTCTCAAGTAGGCCTTGTCTGCCGGCAAGGGCGCCCCAAAGGCGGGAGGCGCCATGTCGCTGGTTGCTTACGCCAGCAGCGATGAAAGTGAGCCGGATGAGGCTGAGCCAGAGCCGGAGCCGGAGCCAGAGGAAGAGGAGGCGGCGGCCCCTACGTCTGGGCCCACTTTAGGAGGCTTGTTCGCTTCTCTCCCCGCACCCAAAGGTCCAGCCCTGCTGCCCCCGCCTCCCCAGATGCTGGCCCCAGCGTTTCCCCCGCCGATGTTGCTGCCCCCACCCAGCGGAGACCCCAGGCTCCAGCCTCCTCCTCCCTTGCCCTTCGGCCTGGGAGGCTTCCCCCCACCTCCAGGCGTGAGCCCTGCTGAAGCGGCGGGAGTTGGGGAGGGACTGGGATTGGGGCTGCCCTCGCCCCGAGGCCCTGGCCTCAGTCTGCCCCCCCCTATCGGCGGGGCCCGGCCCCCCCCTGGGCTTCCCCAGCCC